GGTCAGAATAGTTCACTGACCAAGAATGACCCAGGCCATTATTTTGTTTTGAGCTGCTTAATGCCTGGCGTAATCTATGTTTCTTATCCAAATGCAAAACCCAAAGCGGTCTTGTGTGATTTTAGTCACCATGACATTCAAAAGGTCAAACAAGGTATCTGACCTTAGATGAGCATGCGATATTATGCTTAGAGCAGTTATGTAGGTTCCAGGGGCCCTTCGGGGACCAACCTGGAGTTTGATCAACCTGGGGACCAACCTGGGAGGGGGGGGACAAATTGACCTCCCACTCGAGCGAAGGGTATCCAACCCGGGCGCATGTTAAGTCGCGAGAGTGGTTTATGCCGTCACCGGTCAGCTGGATTCAATATTTCATATTCAGTAGGTGGAAAAGACGAACTTGTGATCTCTCGAGGTGTGCTTACAAAAGCCAGTTTGAATGTCAATAGTATGTGGGTGCTGACCGACGTTCGCACTGCCCGATCTTGAACGGGCAATCCTCACGCGTACCAAGCTTGCTGTGAACTTACACTCTGTCACTTGTCGTTTTAAACGGACTTCTAAAAGCCGTTTATTTCTTCGCAAGGCGGATGCATCGCAGACTGTTCACATGAACTTAATGGCGTGCGGGGGGTCAGCTTTTGCTACCACGTCACGGTCCACCAACAGCCATCTGTACAGTTTTCAGTTCTGTGCCGGCGTGACTGTGGGAACAGAAATGAATGCCGTGATCTGATTAACAACGCCCCGCGACGCGTCATGAATGCTTCACCGTGCAGATGTCCGCGGTCCAACGCGAAAGTGCTGGAACGTTCATTCCCACGTCGTTTCGAGTCCGATAACCGCCCTTGTCGCTTGGTTACCATCGACGAGGTCATCAGGGGTCAACCGCTCACGTGGCGATTTTGCCCAGCCGCCTGGGTCGTGTGGTTACCACCAACAAGCCCTTTGGCGTGGTGCGCTGAACAGTGATAGCGTCGCCTAGGTAACGCTCCTGTTTACCACCGCTAATGTCACCAACGCCCTGAAGCAACTGCGGATAGCGGTCGTCGGGGTTCAATGTGGCGGTTGTTGACGACATCAGGGTCAGGATGTGTACGCGTGCTCACAGACACGGCCATCAGGGTCATGGTCATGGTGGTCGCTATTTACGTCAGCAAAGGTCATATTTGTCTTCCCCGAGTACATGCGCATTGGGTCTCAGTTTGTTTTCCCGTCATGAGATGTGGCCACGGTTTTATTTGTATTTCTCGGAAGTAATGTTCGGGTTTTCGGCGATTGCCCTTAAGCCAGCTTTCAGAACTATCACCGATTGTAAAGTGGTCATTTAGAGTAAACACTTTAAGATTTGTTTTAATGATTATGTTGTTTGTAATGTAATGCATATAACCTGAGGATTATATACAACATATAATGTCTCTAAAATTGCATCGTATTATCAATGAACGCGCCAGCCTTGGTTTGGTTCTATCTGTGCCTCTACGACAGCATGTAATCGTGAAGCGCAAACACGCTGCTCTCACTTGTTTTGCTGCTGCTCTCCATCGTTTCCGGCCTGCAGCCAGAAACAATGGAGCGGCGAGCCTTAGTTTCCTTTCCCTTCACGCTTTCTTGGCGCGTGCCTGCCGACCTCGAACCCAGCCGATAATGGACCTGAGCCCTCAAAAGACCCAGCCGGCACGGCTGTCTGGGTCGTCAGGACCCCTGAGGCTCAGACTTACGACCCCGCGGGCTGTCTGGGGCGTGACGCACTGAAGCAGCAGGCGCGCCGTCAAGGTGCCCGGATGATACGAAGAGCGGACCGACGGCGGTGATCAGTCATGCCGCCGCGTCGTCATCAGTTCCGCCGCGATAAACCGCAGCAAAGAAGGAACGCCTTACGGTGGCAACAAACAGCGTTGTGGCGGTGCCCGGCGCTGTGTGTGGTGCCTGGGGCACGCGCCGTGGTTCCGCGTAGGGCTCGGACCATCGCCGGACCGCCAGCTCGATGCAAACACGGCCGCCTGAAGTCAGCTGTGATGTCTGCAGAGCCGACCTCGGATACCAGGGCCACCGCTGAGGCAAGTTTAGGCGAAATTCACCAAATTTACCCACGATTAAGGCCCACCAAAAAGGGGGAATCAAACAGAGGAGGAAAAGTCTGGTCTTCCAACGTCGTTAGCAGTGCGCGGCATTTACCAGTCCACAGTGTACCGCACGTAGGTTTGTTGGAAACAGAGTTTACTTAGGAAAAGCAGCGAACTCGATTCATTGTCAACAAAACCTCCATACATGGCGGTATAAATCGGTAGCCTGGTATATCTGGACTGTATGGCCGTCAGACAAAGATAAGCTTTATAGCCAGGTTTCCGTGGCCATGTACAGGTTTGTGACTACCATTTGTGGTTATCATTGAGAACAAGCCGCCGCTGTTTCACGTCGAGCAGTGTGACTCTGCGCTACCGTGCAGTCACAAAAATTCCTAACGCGGAAAAATGCAAAAACTTCATTGTTTATACGTGGTATTTGTACGCGCATGTGATTGAGTACAAAGCAAAGCAGGTACAAAAGCAGAGTGTTCACATCATTGCAAGCAAAGCCCTCATACATAACGTCATAGTTCAGTAATCTAGCATAACTTCTGACCAACTTAAGTTTGCTAACATGTGTAGTGAACGCGCCGTCAGTTATGCCCAATTTTACAGCGCCGTCTGTCATCGTGTTTCCGCCCGGTCCCATAACTGGTGCCAGGGTGTGGCATCTAACCACTCCCTCGCCCGGCGACAGGGTAGGGTGTGGCATCTAACCACTCCTTCGCCCGGCGACAGGCTAGGGTGCGGCATCTAACCACTCCTTCGCCCGGCGACAGGCTAGGGTGTGGCATCCAAACACTCCCTCGCCCGGCGACAGGCTAGGGTGTGGCATCTAACCACTCCTTCGCCCGGCGACAGGCTAGGGTGCGGCATCCAACCACTCCTTCGCCCGGCGACAGGCTAGGGTGTGGCATCCAACCACTCCTTCGCCCGGCGACAGGCTAGGGTGCGGCATCTAACCACTCCTTCGCCCGGCGACAGGGTAGGGTGTGGCATCTAACCACTCCTTCGCCCGGCGACAGGCTAGGGTGTGGCATCCAACCACTCCTTCGCCCGGCGACAGGCTAGGGTGCGGCATCTAACCACTCCTTCGCCCGGCGACAGGGTAGGGTGTGGCATCTAACCACTCCTTCGCCCGGCGACAGGCTAGGGTGCGGCATCCAACCAGTCCTTCGCCCGGCGACAGGCTAGGGTGCGGCATCCAACCAGTCCTTCGCCCGGCGACAGGCTAGGGTGTGGCATCCAACCACTCCTTCGCCCGGCGACAGGCCAGGGTGCGGCATCTAACCACTCCTTCGCCCGGCGACAGGCTAGGGTGTGGCATCTAACCACTCCTTCACCAGGCGACAGGCTAGAATAAACTCATTCCTGACGGGAAGGACAGAATTCTGGTAACTCAGCCATGGATGTTGAGTTATTTAGTTGAGAAAGTAGATCAATTTAAGGGTACGTAACTTCGCTCACATATGCTTCAATTACCGTTTTGCTTGAAGTCTTTTTCAGCTATTATGGATTGATTCGGATTATTCCGTTTCATGACTGTGCTCAGCTTAATTTGATATGCTTGCATTTTTTAGTTATGTAGGAGGATGAAGTTTTGCAGGTTCTGTAGTCCAACATGTAACGCCTTTACAGAAATAATAAAAAGATAGAGAATAGTGAAATTAATGATTTCGGCAATGACGATAACTCGCATCCATCCTTTTGTGCAACTGTATCGCAATGAACGGCTTCTCGATGGCTTCGACGTGTAGGTCCCTCGGCTGCGGCTGCTCTACTGATGGTTATAGGAAATCAAAGAGCTGACCTTCAGCCGGCAGCCAAATCACGGCCCAGCTGTCGCTGCGGCAATCGACTGCGAGGCACCTGGTGATTGGAATCCACGGCGACCCTGCAATCAGTGACGTCAGCACCACTTGATAATTTATGTAAATGTTCGTAACTAACCAGAAAATTGGACTCCTCGTGCGATTTCGGGTCTGGTGATGGTCAAATATGGGACATTCATTCATCGCCATTTGTTGCATTGCCAGCCAGTTAAACACTGCATTCACAGGCCTTGGTGCTACGCAGTTGAATTATGGTGTTTTTTTGCGAAAACCGGCACTTCATGGTAAGTGTCACACACCTTCGAAACTGAGCCGTTAGGACATCCGCCGAACTGCTGAGCTTGAGCGGCATGCGAGTGTCCGTGCAGCCAAGGCGACCGTGGGTCATTAAATAGGCACCGCCTGGTCCGCGTACTCGCCCACCGCCCATTGATCCACATAGGCTCTTCCAGGGATCGGCTGATGTGGTCTGCAAGAATTCGCAGAAAGCACCCGGGTGGAGGTTTTACTGCAAGGCAGTTGGAGAAGGTATACAGCAAGTTTACATAATGCTAGAAGGTCGATGGAGTAGTGAGAAACGCGGAAGCTCGATGGGGTTGTCGCAGTTGATGTCGTCCGACCATGTAGCAGCCCCGTTTGTCATAAATAGCTGGCTCCATTACAAGCGCACCCGTGTCCATTCAACTGCCAGGTTTTTAGATTTCCAGCAACTCCAGCCTCACCCACTTCACTTTCGCCGAGTCCAAATTCCCAAAATCCCTAAAACGGCAAAAGCGATAAAATCCTTCCATCGCGCGAGCACCCATCATCACACTGGGCGAATGTGATGAAACTCGGCTTCTAGTCTCAAACGCTCACCCGCTCCTGCCTCCCACATTCGGTGCGTCGCCCACCCTCATCGATTGCCTGCAGGGTGCGCGCGTCAGCTGCGTGCGTGTCCCGGCACACGTGCCCCGAGGCTGCGCCACAATCGGCCGCTCAGCGCTCGTGCTCAATGCGCGCCTTCTGTTTGGCCTGGTCACCATAGCGGCTGCGCGACGGCCCCGGCGCCGGGCCAGGTGTGACGCAGCGCGGCCTATACTGGCAGCCGGCGCGCGCGGCCATCAACATGGGCTCCGGCTCGGTGCGTGACCCCGCGACCGTTTGACCTCGCACGTGACCTTCGGTGACCTGTGACGCTGTGCTGGCAGAAGCGTGGTGTGGGCTTGCGTGCGTTTGGCTCATGATCTTTGCAGGCCTAGTTGCCGTGTGTGGTTTGACGTGGATGAGCCGCTGGCTCTGTTTGCTATTGGAGTGTTAAGTTGTTTGCAGCTGTGTGACCGCTGACCGGTACCACGTGTTTTTGAGCCGTTTTGTACAATGTCAAACACGCCTGCGCCGGGAATACGTGATTGTGCTTCGGTCCCGACGTGCCCCGACATTTACTAAATTGGTCATAGCTTGTCTGATACGACCATTTTTAAAATCGTTTCCAGGCATTAAGTTGTCGTTGTGTTAAAGCTCTTATCATGACTATGGGCGCTATTAATTGCTTACGCCATCTTCATTCTGCACTACTTGTGGAGCAAGGAAGTAGAAAGGTGCGCTGTTCTTTGACCTGATCGTATTTCTCCCCACATTGGTCCTCAACCAGACGGCCTTCCCCGTTTCCCTGCTGCCCGTACCGAACTATCGAGGGTAAACCCCTGCCGTTCGCGCCCCACCGTCATACACCCGCCCCGGTGCGCAGTCTGAGCAGGTCTCGTTGACGGTCCACAGAGTAAGTCCCGGTCCCGGTCGCCGGCGCCGCCGCCGCCGGCGCCCTCCAAGGCGCGCTTGCAGCAGGCACCTCCGTCCAAGAAGGGCGGCGGGTCCCGGCGACCCTCCTTCAACGGGGCCGGCTCCAGGAGACAGTCCTTCAACCCGCTCAAGGAGAACAAGGTACGGATCCTTGGGGGGGGGGGGGGGCAGGGAAGAGACGGTTTTTCAACCCGCTCAAGGAGAACAGGGTACGAACCCGTGGAGGGGTGGGGGGGAGGCAGGGAGGAAACAGTCCAGCAACCCGCTCAAGGAGAACAAGGTACGGACCTGTGGGGGGTGGGGGGAGCAGGGAGGAGACAGTCATTCCACCCACTGAAGGAGAACAAGGCACGGATCCGCGGAGGGGGTAGGGAGGAGACAGTCCTTCAACCCGCTCAAGGAAAATAAGGTACAGCGGGGAGGGGGGGGGGGGGCAGGAAGGAGACAGTCCTTCAACCCACTGAACGAGAACAAGGTACGAACCCGGGAGGGGGGGGGGGGGGGCAGGGAGGAGGCAGTCCTTCAACTTTACTCAAGGAGAACGAGGTGCGGACCCGTGGGGGGGGGGGGGGCAGGGAGAGACAGTCCTTGAACCCACTGAAGCACGAGGTACGAGCTCGTGCGAGAGGGGGGCAGGGAAAAGTCTTTTGAGAGAAGCAGTTGTCCGTCGAGAGTCGCCGTGATGAACAGTTGGTGACTGGCGCCTGGTGTGGAACTGCGGCTGACAAGACACGGAATCTCAAAACGATGAACACGTTGGTCTTGAACGCTTAAAGAATATAAAAGTTGATGGTCTTGCCTTATCAGCCTGCCTCACATTGCTTGCACAATATGAACAGAAATAAACAGTCAGGAATGGTTTCATGACCTTTGCAAGTTTTCTCCTCAAATTCAGTTTTGTTCGGCTTGAGTCCCCTGAGCAGTCCCGATCAATGCGAGAAAGAAGCTCGCGTGCTGTCGTGTGATGTTTCAGTAGACCAACGCCACTCATCACCCGGCAGCTTTAGACTTAAGGGCGGGAATATCAAAGCGAAGTTCGCAATATTCGATGGCGTTGACGTGCTGATCTACGTAGGAATCCCTTTGAAAAGAGATTCGCGAAGAATTCTAGCAACTATGTATGCAGAGAATGTGTGTATGCATGGCATTGAATGGAATTTAAACGCTACGCTAAAATCACGATGCGGAATAAGTCTTCCCAATTTGAGTGTTATTTTGAGGTTGCATGACATTAGATGTGGTATCGACTAAAATGGTGAATCACTGAGTGAATAATCTATGTCCACAAACAGGCGTTTCAGATAAAGTTCGGGCAGTTGTTTTTTTGCAATTTTCACATAACCGAAATTGTTGGGTGTTAGGGACAACTAAAAGCTGCCGTTAGTCGTATCAAACGCTAGATCGAATTGGAATGAAATCTCAGCTTGCAGAATGCTGGTAGGTATGTCCGGTAATTCATAGGTGTTCCGCTTCAGAAATATATTGTTCGCCGCGAAACGAAACGGCCGAGTGGTCAGGGTGGTTGGCAGCCATGCGAGCGATCCGTGTTCGAATCACGGTTGTATCGCGTTGCCTGGATGTTTTCAGGACCCCCATAGTGACTTGCACTCTATAAAGGTTTAGTGAATATGTGTGTCGCGTATTTTTCGATTCCTTCGCACAGTACGGATCGTTACTTCTCCGTACTTTGAGTAGTCAATACGGCTGCTATGCATACAGAAATGTCCGCAGGTGTGCATACATGCATACTCAAATTTCCGTCTGTAAACCATACTATTTGCAGGAATTTAGCAAATGGCCATCACGAACTGTCAAAGTAATCACACAGCTTGGTCTAATCACCACCGACGTCATATATCTAAAAGTTTCCATATTTGCTGGTGATTACACTCATACTTGCTGCCTTCTGTAGCTAGAGGTAACTTTCGCAGCTAATCATATTTTTGTACCGCGAAAACATGCGTGCTGGAAGTATTCAAAGTGCTAAGATGCAGAGAATCCCCCCTCCCCCCTCCGATGTCCAATCTCTTTTAACGCCACATCAATCTCTTTCACTAAGGGAGACGCGTTCCTCCATGCCAATGTCTCTCTACCTGCCCAGGTGTCGATTGGATGACCCCAAGCAAGATCCCTTATCCGTATCCCTTATCCCTTATCGTGTCGCAGCAGCTTGGAACCACCTGCACCCGACCACCACTATATCTCTATCTTTGAGTGATTAAAACTCATGAAAATGCAAACGTTAGATCATGCACCTCGGTTTTAAGCCTGTACTGGGGCTTATATGACTGTACGCCATATATATGTACCCGCTTGAGCTTTGCGTGTCAATGTGGATTCCATGTACTTAAAGCTTGTTTTCATCCATCTTTGTATGTGTGCTCTGGGTTTCGTACATTCTGTTCCTATCAGTTTGGGACGTTTATGAAATTCATTGGTTGACATCGTACGCATTTTAAAGTGTTGTATTTTATAGCATCATATTTTATAGCATCGTATTTTGCACTATCGTATCTTGTAGTACAAAGGATGTTTCGTAGCATCGTATTTTATCCTATTTTTTTGCAATGTGTTGTAACGAATGGGTGAGGGTTATAACAAACCGAGCCTAGTGAACGTTGTACCAAGCCGAACACCCGAAAAGCCACATCATGGATGGATTTCGACCAAACAAATACAACGTAACGTGAATGTTTTTATCCCAGGGAAGGTCCCTGGGGAGGACCGCATGGTAGGCGTTATGGTTGGGTCCAACTCGCCTGCCTGGGTGTAACCGCGCCTCCGAGATTGGTGGGAGGGTTTATCAGGATTGCGGATGTTATACTAGAATACTAGACATTAGAACTAGAACACTAGACACTCCACATTGACACAACTAGCAGACTAATAGCATTTTGAATGGTAAAAAAGGCATGAAAACGTGCATTCTACAAACATTCCACTGCAGGGGCCTCAAACTTATTATGGAAAAATTGAATGGGTATATCCTCAGCTCAGTCCCCTCCCCCCCCCCCCCCCCAGTGGTTATACCCCTGCCTGCCTGAGCATTCCGGTTCCGCTCCTGACCCCACAGACAGCTGACACGGCGGTGTCTTTCTCAGCCGCCTGCGACGCCTACGCCGCGACCGCCGCCGTCAGACCCCAACCTGGCGCAGTGTCCCATCTGCACGCGCGCCTTCGCCAAGGACCGGCTGGAGAAGCACAAGACCATCTGCGAGAAGAGCAACAAGAAGAAGCGCAAGGTGTTTGACCCGATTAAGATGCGGGTCAAGGGCACGGAGTCTGAGCAGTACATCAAGAAGATCAAGAGTGGTGCGAACGATGATAAGGTGGGACGCGGCCAAAAGGTGAAAAACAATGTCTACTTTACGGAGCCGAGAGCACAGTCGCGGACTTGGGTGATCATTGTCTTTACTTGGTCACTTAACCTCCAGTTTCGAGGTGCAGTGAACGAGCTTAACAGCCCACCAGGCGATTTTAATCACCAAAGACCAGGACAGCCTGCTACCCGATCCGATTCATTATTAAGACCGTTGGAGACCTTTTGTCAGTCGGCATCACACAATGGATCGCTCACAGCACTTGGCACCGTTTTAACTCAGCGCATCCCCACGAACATGCCTGCCACTCACAACACTGCCTAGTGACGAAGCACAATTGCCCCAGGCGGATGTCGTTGCTTCCAGATTCCTTGTGGCCCCTGTTTTTTCTTCTCCCTCTAAGCACGATTGCCTCAGACGGATGTCGTTGCTTCCAGATTGCTTGTGGCCCATGTTTTTCTTGTCTCTCGAAGCACAATTGCCTCAGACGGATGTCGTTGCTTCCAGATTGCCTGCGGCCTATGTTTTTTGTCTTGTTTCTCGAAGCACAATTGCCTCAGACAGATGTCGGTGTTTCCAGACTGCTTGCGGCCTATGTTTTGTCTTGTCTCTGGCGCTTTCAGTGGCAGAAGAGGTGATTCTTGCGTTTACGGTGGACTCTGCGTCTGGGTTGTGTGATCATACATGATTTGCTCTGCAGCTGAATCCGCAAGTTGTTACGGTATATGACAAACTGTCTTCGCAGTATGTCATTCTGAAACCAAGGGTGTGCCTTGCAATCCATTATCTTTGCAACTGCGTACGCATGAGCGAAAAAAAATCATTGGTATATTTACAACAAAGCGTGTTGCAAAGGGATTTTGTTAGCGATCATTCATGACCATTCTGTTGACTGCTAAGAAAACATTTTCTGGACCAATTAACATGGTGCAGTGTTCTTGGCGGCATCGACCTGCTTCAACCTCCCGATGTGGGAGCAATGCATCAAACTTGTATTTTAATGACGGAGCCTTACGCAGGACCCAGTAAGACTAAACCAAATACATAAATATTTCTGCCAGGGGCTGATACTTTTGTGATGAAAACAAAACGCGGGGATATGTGCGAAAAACTGCGGCTGTTGCTGCGCTGGCCAGGGTGGCCGGCTGGTTGACAGAACCCCTGTCGCTGCCACCGATGGACAGTTTTTTTTTTCTTTAGTGGCGTTCGGTTTCACTGGCACCCTACCCGCTGGTATGCTGATGATCCCTGCATATGCAATCATTCACCTTCACTATTCCAGCCTTAACTTGGCATAGGCAGGAAGAACCTTGAACCCCTGGCTTCTCACTATAAAATTAACGCTATAAGTCCTTAGTCTTATAATGCTGAGAGAGTCCTCAAGCTTGCAGTTATCGACCTTCCGTACTCAAGAGATACTGTTTAAACGACGCTGTCAAGCAAACGTTATGGCGTCAACGTTGCAAGTTGTGCTTTGATTGTGACTTATTATAGCCACTTGGAATAATAAGTAAAATTTGCAATATCGCGTACCGAGAATGTAACTAACGTGTGCTTGATAACGCCTTTTAACTGGTGCTTCCTGGTATACTGAGGGCTGGTAGCTCGTAACGACTCTGAGCCCAACCAGAGCTGGTTTATTTTGTTGCCTTTCAACTAGTGATTCCTGGTATAGTGGGGGCTGGTAACTCGTCATCGTAACAACTCTGAGCCCATCCAGAGCTAGTCTACTTTGTTTAAACCTGGATTGGGGACCGCTTGATTTCTAAGCACCCACGTTGGGTCAAATGCGGATCTCATTAGAATTGCACCGGGGAAGCTATCCTGCACATTTTGGCAAATGCCCAGCCTATACATGCTCGTGGTGCATACTAACAGCCGCTCCGAGTCGCCATTAACGATGAGATGCCACTTCCGATGAATTACCACGACGCGCATTTGACAGCCCGTTTGGCAGCCCATTTGGCGGACTTAACCCCGTTCGCATCCTTCGACTGGACAGTGACCTGGCCTCCGTACGACCGATATGACCTCCACCACGGTATGACTGGCCGGACGGTGACCTCGCATCCGCCCAGCGCTGCATGACAGGCCGGACAGTGGCCTCCTCAACCGACCCTACCCCCGCCCCCCCCCCCCCCCCAAACACCACGACCACGATGCTTGACGAGGTGGTGACAGTCTCCTCTTCTCACAGGACCCTAACCTGTGCCCACTCACCCGCAGTCTCCGAAGAAGGCCGACTGGCGCAAGCAGCACGAAGAGTTCGTGGCCAACATCCGGGCCGCCAAGCAGGCGCAGGCGCACCTGGACGCGGGCGGCAAGCTGGAGGACCTGCCGCCGCCGCCGCCGTCCGACACGTCTGACTACGTCGAGTGTCCGCACTGCGGCCGGCGCTTCAACGAGGCCGCCGCCGACCGTCACATCCCCAAGTGCTCGTCCATCTCGAGCAACAAGGCGCCCGGCCAGCCGCCGCCGAAGCAGGGCGGCCGCGGTGGCGGCAGGAAGCGCCGGTAGAGCGCGGAGAGGGCGGGTAGAGCGGCGGGAGGGCCGGAGGAGCACTGAGATGACAGGCTGAGAGCGAGGAGCGCGCGCAGAGAGCAGTGGGGGTAGGTATCTCAGGTACCTGCAGCGAGCAGAGGGGTATCTCAGGTACCTGCAGCGAGCAGAAGGCAGTGGAGGCAGGTATCTCAGGTACCTGCGGCAAGCAGAGGGCGGTGGGGTAGGTATCTCCGGTACCTGCAGCGAGAACAGGGCGTTGGGGCAGGTATCTCTGGTGCCTACCGCAGGCAGAGGGCGGTACGGGAGGCATCTCCGGTACCTGCAGCGGGAAGAGGGCGGTGAGGGGGCAAGTACCTCAGATGCCTGCAGCGCCAGACGGCAGGAATGTCGCTGGTGGTGGCGGCTTGTGTTGCGGGAGGAGGCGCCGGGTTTGAGCGCTGGCAGGCGCGTGGTCCCCCGCGAGGCGGGACAGTTGTGGCCACTGAGGGCATGGCGTGTCGGCAAAGTGCTGCTGTTCGTCGCGCGGCGGGAGGTTGCTGAAATCGTCTCATGATTGAGTCAGTGATTGATTGGGGAAATTGGGGCGTGATTGAGTCAGTCCTGCCCAAATCGATGCGCTGGTGTCTTATGTCTTGTACCCGTCTTGTGTGCGGGCACACCGCCGCCGGACGGGTTAGGAACATGTCTTTGCGGCTACAGGCCACAGTAGAAACGAATCGCACTCCGCTGGCCTATGACGGATGCAAACTGTTAAAGCAAAGGCAGCGCAGTTAGCGGGGTGGAAAACATTTGGACGCTCGGACCACGGTAAAATGCTTTACGAGCACACCATTAAGCGGGCGAAGTTGTGCAAGTTGTTGAACGATGTGCCTGATAAGTTTTTTGATTAAATGTTGGTTAGTACTGGTGATGCCGGCTTATTTTCGCACACCAACACGCTTTGCATTACTGTAGAATGAACCCAGCAATACTATAGTTTTTGTTAAGACCAATAATGGCCCGGCTGTCGTTGCCAGCTTCCGGAGGTCGTACTGATAATCTAACACCGTGCCTATACCGTTCCGCTTTTCTGTGATAACATATATGCTACGTCGACAAGACGATCAGTAATATGCCGCGCACGTTTGCGGCTGTTGCACGGGTGAGGAGCCCTGTGCGAAGTGTAAATGCGCCACTGGGTCACTGCAGTAGCTGGAGAAATATATATAGTTCTTGATCCACGGTTTCTGGAGGAAATTCTGCCATGCAGTGCGGCATGGTGGCAAAAGGTGCTGGTTAGCGGAAGGCTGGGACTACAACGTGTTCGATAACAGGTATGTATTTACCGTGAACGACTGTTGTTTGCTATGGTGGTGCGTGTGTATAGAAAGCCCTGCATGCCTTTAAATACACCCAGACACATTTAACGAAACGTAAAGGATGGTTAGCATTCTGCATCAATTCCAATTCGGTGGGAAACAAAGTCACGGAAGTCTTGAACGAGCCTCAAAATTGTGAGTTGACGAACTTCACCGATAGAGGTGGTCAGGTAGGTACACTAAAAATAGATATTGGCCGTAACACATTTCAAGGCAACACGCATTGCGCTAATTGGAGTTTGAATGAGGACGATATTTCATCAGAATTGAGTGCACAAGCGGTTTGCAGTTGAGAAAGCGGGACATAGGACATAGCCAGGACATAGCCAGCCCGTGTAGGTGCTCCCCCAGAAAGCATTTTGATGGATTTGAGACAGGTGCATTTCGTGCCTAACATATTACTGGGAGCTGCTCCACGAAATGAAATAATCGGTGAAAATTACATTTCTCTTCATAATTTGATCCGATACCAACCACAAACAAATAGCTCTAAAACCGTCAAAGCATCCATCACGGTCCTCTGGTTCACTGAGTCTTGCCTGGCACGTCCTCCCTCTGCGCCGTGTTCCTCACGCACAAACACACACACATGCAACGATCCAACATATTTATTTCGTAATCACCTTCATTTAACCGGGACAACGACTTCACATAAAAACAGTGTCACCCACGCACTCGGCAGCCTCTGGCATGGCGTCGCGCATGCAACGGACTACCTGGCTAAGACAAAGCATCCTCCACGAAGAACGTTTGTACAGTGATGTTCAGCACCGAAGCACTCTGATCGATGACGTCACAGGTCGGCGAGAGCGTCAGGTCACGTGGACAACGGCAGACCCCAGTGAGCCGATACAGGGTCGCACCAAGGCGTTGCCACATGGCGTTGGGCCGGCACCCGGGCCGGGTCGGCCGGCGCTCCGATGGTTCTCGCTACGCGGCTCCCCCGATCCGTTTAAACACACGTTGCGTGCGAAAACACGCGGCTATGCGTCACAGACCACGCAGTATTCCGGGGGTGCAAGATGTCATACACGATGGGTCAGGCGCGGGGCCTCATACCTAGCCCCGCAGCATTCCGAAACGGGTCATGATTTCCGCCATGCTCGAGCGTACAGAACGAACAACGGCAAGCCTGTCTCGAATTAACGGAGTCGGAACCTCGCTAGCTCTCTCCCTGGGGCATCCCCAAATCCAAATCCAAATCCCCCTGGGGCATCTGAACTCTCGGGACCGTGTCTGACGCCGCAACACGCGGGTAAAGGTGTGGGTTCCCCGGTCTCATCGGTTTCTTTCCCAGCCGACGCTCCAGCGTCTCCTCCAGCATGCTCCACACGCCGCTTACCTTCTTCACGGTTACGCGCCACCAGCAGACGTTCCCGTTCGGGGAGCCGCAACCCTCGCGCACGCCTCCAGCCCTGCACACGCCGCGAACATCCCTTCCATCTCACCAACCGCGCCCGCACCTGCACATCCTCCCTACCCTCCCCCTCCCCAGTTTCCCTCTTTTCTTGCCCCCTCCCCCCCCCCCCCCCCCAGCTACCCGTCCAGCTCGCACTTGCCCGTCTGGCGGTATGGCTTGGCGGCGGCGAGCGGCACCGCCTGGCGGATGCTGGGCGGCAGGCAGCCGCGCAGGCGGTCGTGCCGCTCGGCCGGCATGTTGAACGCGGCCAGGCACTTCTTGAGCCAGCAGGCGCGGCAGCGCGTGTCGGCCGCGTGCCGCGGCGCCAACACCGGGATGTGGCAGCGGCCCAGGCCCAGCAGGCACTGGATCGGCTGCGCGGGCTGCACGCGGCCGGCGAACTGGCGGCACGCGTCGCACGCGTACGAGCCGTGCAGCCGGCAGCGCGCCGTGTGCGTGTAATACTTGGTGCCCCCGCACACGCCGCATGTGACGAAGCCCGGCGACGGCGGCTCCGAGCTGGCGGCCGGCACGGGCGGCGCGTGTCAGCACGGCGCTGGGTGGCGGGGCGACGGAGGGCACGGCGGCGGCCATGTCGCAGCCAGTGGCGCAAAACGGTACAGTTCACAACGCGTGTACGCGCTTCAGGTCAACACCCACCCATGTCGTTGACCTTTTACGCACCGGGTGGCGAAGGATGAGGCGGTCAGGTCACTTTTCCGTCCCAGCAGGAAAGAAGTTGAGACATACTGTTAGGTTGAATGGATGCGGAAACAATGTTCGGCGCGGATCGCTCTGCCAACGGTTCTACTAATATCGCTGGGGAAGGAGAGGAAGTATTATGAGGAAGGAGTTGTCGGGTCAAGACACAAGATATTACGACAATGAGTCCACCTAATTTCATCTCCTGCATAAGCAACAGCAGCATCTGCACCTGTACGACAAACACAAAACAATAACTAGGACACAACCACATCCCACATTTCCTCAACTCGTAATCTGTTACTGTAAGTGAATAACCATACGCGCCCGCCTGTCTCCCCGTTGCCGCAGCATCTTTCGCGGAAGCGAGATGGTCACTTACGGTGCACGTCCAATGAGTGAATCTCGAGGCCGAATGACCAGCTTGCCTGCACACCACACACGTTCACCGAGAGATCTGATACAGCCCGTCCGACACGACAGCCGTGACCATCGCGGCCGTCTGGATGGGGAATTGTCGGTTGCGGCCGCTTACCAATGGAAGTCATGCCCCCCCCCCGCGCTGATGCACTTAACACCATTACAGGGCTAAATCGAAGCCATAATCAATACAAATAAACTGAATGTATGAACCATGAACAGCCATAAAGAAAATACTCAAACGGAAGATTTCAAACACTATGAACAGAGCATATACGGCTGAACAGCTACTGAAATCGAATAGAAAATGGCGCAAAAACATTCCCGAATTTCCACATCCAAGAAGACTGACAACATAGGAAAAATGCACAAAGCCAGGAAAAACCGATAACATATTAAGCGCGAGCCGCTGCCGCGGTTTCTGCGCCCACGTGGCACATCGCAAACCATCACGGCCCATCCGCAGGCCACCACTGCGGCCGCCTGTACCCTGCGCTCGGTGTGGAGCACCCACCTGGGCGGCGGGGAAGGCGGTCTGCGCGGCGGCAGCGGCTGCTCCAGCCGCTGCTGCTGCTGCTGCTGCGGCCGGGACAGCTTCAGCTTCATCGGCGCCACGGAGCGCACGGCAAACGTGTCGTCGCCGCCGGCGCCGCCGGGAGCGGGCCGCGCTCCGCTGCCCGGCTGGCGCGAGCGCAGGTTTTCCTGCGGCCAGCAGCGCGGAGCGTGAGCCGACCGAGCCGCCGAGTGAAGGGCCACGGCCCAACGCTCACGTGGCATGGACGTGGGGAAGCGGTTTGATGGGACACGGCGCATTCGCACCCTGCGTAATATTTTCGCAAGCGCTGGCGATACAACTTCCAAACCAGTTACATGTTTTTGCAAACATTGGTGATGCAACCTTAAACACGATCATCGCTGCGTTACGTTAGTATTGATAAGTAGAAAGTCCGAAGTTACCGTTTAAGGGTATGGGTGGGAGTGAGTTAATCAACAACGGCGTTATAATTCCAACGCTTGGAAACCTGATCAAAGGCGCTGCGGAAGTAGCACCAGAGACGGTGTGGTCCTCCAGAACGCACGGGAATGCTAGCCGATTACATCGCAGCAATCGTGGGGGAGCAGCCGAGAAACCCATGCATCACCTACCTGGAACTTGTTCCACGCTTTTCTGGCATGCTCTGGGTGAAATTCTTTCAGATGGCTGAGCACGGATTTCGGATCCCGGAATTTGGAATGGCAAACACGACACACGTACGCCTCCTTCTTGCCTGGAACGATACCAAGGACGAGCATAGTTACTTCTCGAGCACGGGCAGTGAGCGCCTTGTTCGTGCGCTTAAAACCATCCTTAAAACTCGGGTTAAACGTCTTCAAAGTCGGGGGGTAGCATTAGGTTTGGTACTGGTCCACGGCACCTGTCCACGTAAACGGCGCACTTCTCGTCCAGTTCCTGGGACCCTGTTCACAATGACGGGTGTAAGTACATCAAACAGGTACAATTCATCCGCGCATCGAGTAACGGGCCAATCGCGCCCCACGGCAACATGGCCATCTGTACAAGACCATGCCAAACCCTGCGTCCGCGTATCGTGCCTGGGCAACGCGCTTCGACGAGCGCACTCCGCAGCGCCCATTAATCGCCTGTTAAACCGTCCCAACAGTCAGCGAGTCTGTGACATCACGCACGACGTAAATCACAACAAAGAGCGGCCTTTGGTAAATTGGTTATCTATTCGAACAACCAAGGCCTGGAATAAAGCTACAGCACCTTTGTCACAGCCGGATTGATCAAATAAAACCGCGTTACCCAAAATGGGCAGGACTGAACTTGACAGACTTTGCTGGTACCTTCGCGCTGGTGCACAATGCTTCTTCACGACCGACCTGCGCCAGGCGCGACCCCAATGGCCACTTGCCAGCTGACCTATTCCCGTCGGTTAGGCTGAACAATGAGCACTTTCTGATACTCGTACCCGGAGCCGCTGAATTACAAGTTCATTATCGCTCTCCATACCGCCGAGGCAGCTGCGGCAGCTGCCGCCAAAAACCAGCGTCATCGCCACCAACGACGCTCAAACGCCGCATGACGCAAGCATCCAGCGAAAACAGCCCCGAAGGCCGGCATTACCAGCACACGGACGTCCGGTGGCGTGATGTACAGGACCAACCAACCGAGATGTACAGGAGGCATGCCTCACCATTGGTCGGCCTCCTAGGTGGCGCTGGCGGCGCTGGCAGCGGCGGCCGCCGCGCCACGGGCCGCGGCAGCGGCGGCGGCGGCAACGGCGGAGACGGGGAACGACCGCGCTCCTCCTCAGAGTCCTC